AGGCGGCGGTGGCCGGCCCGAGGGGGCTTGGCGGGGGCCGCGGCCGCCCCGTCACCCGCCGGCATCCGTGAGGACCACTGCCTGGAGAGGGGGGAAACGAAAGAAAGAAAAAGGGATAGTATGGTACGGCCCTCTGGGAGGATACTGGCAAATAAGCAAATTAAACAGAAAGAGAGCAGCGTGTTGTCATAGCAACAGTGCAATTAAATTACTTTACTGTCAGCCATCAGATAATTTTCCTGTTTAGAAGCTCATGGGACATAACTTCCATTTGGAGTCAAAGTTGAGTGTGCGGTGTAGGTAGGCGATGCCCGTGCCCCCAGATGCTGGTGATACTCGTGTTTACCTTCTGCTAGCCCCTGGATGCTGTTTTGAAAGCTAGGAAGTGGGATCTACGTAAGTTTGGCCTCCCGGTGTTTATATCTGCTTTGGTATTTTTTCCTCTTCCAGATTCTTGTGTAAAACCACACGTGTTCACTGAGCCTGTTGGGTGATGGTGTGTGTTAACGGGCTTCTGTGCATAAAAGTTCTGTATGTTCCTTTTTTAGTAATGGCTGCTTTGCTGTAAAGTGTTTATAGGAAGACCTGAGGAACTCTCCTCTTTCATTTTTGCCCTTTTGTAACAGCTGAAATAAAGTCCATTATTTCTCTTTCCCCAAATATGGCTATCTTGTTCTTTTTTTTCCCCTGTAGATAGGTGATATGTTTTGTTGTTACCTGTAGTTTTCTTGCCCTTCATTTACAGTGGTCAGCAGTGTGACTGCATGACTTCAGGGAACTGCTGAAGATATGTTTTAGATACAGTGAATCATTTTGCTGCTGTTCAACATTTGTGCAAGAAGTTTCATTGTTTTTAAATCCATTATTAACTCTTTCCAATTTTTATTTCACTTTTGTTCACATCTCCAGGTCTAAATCCTGGCTGGCAGTTTTACTGTGTGGAGGAGCGAAGGGAGACTGTCTCCTGCTTCTGAAGTAGAATTGTTGGGCTCCTGTCTCCTCCTCTTGAGTTGGGCAGGTGCCCAACTTCACCTAACCCCTGAAAGTCTCAGGTCCTCCCAAATATTACTACTCACAGCTATCCCTCTGGGGCCTGCTGGTGCAGTACCCTCGGCAGCTCATTCCCCCTCTCCCAGGCCACTGTTGAGCATCACAGAAGTCTTGCTGACTCTTGTTTTCTACCATGTTTGAAATACGGTTCAGCTTATGTTAAAATCTTCTCTGTTTACATACATTCTTAAAGTGCTCTATTCCTCTGGTGCGCGTTTCCCTGTGTCTTGGCCGTGGTCCCAAAACTACCGTGCGTTGCTTTGCTTTCCCTCCTCCCTTCTCCGTCCCTTGCTGTTGAAGTTCTGCTGTCATTTCTGAGTTTTGTTGCAATTGCCACTGTAGTCAGAGTGGATCCTTGCCTGCCTTAGCCTTTAACCAGAGTGGGTTTAATCACGGTGCTGTTGTATTGTCCTCAAAAGTGAAACAGCTGAACTTAATCTGAAGCAACTGGCCTTAAGCCCCTTTATTTTTTTATTTTGTATTTTTTTTTTTTTTTAAGTTCACATGCTGATTAAAGTGATGCAATGGGAGTATTCAATGATTTGATACACATACTCATCATTAAAGGGACATGTCTGTAGGATTTCCTGTATGGGGCTTCATGTACAAACAGAATTGAGGTGTATTGAGATTATCATCTTACTCCATCGACTGAAATTTCTTCCCTTGTCCTGACTTTAGATTATGTTATTCAAAAGTTGTGGATGAGTGTTTATGTGAGTCTGTCATTTTTAATGCTGATGGCAAAAGGCCGAGTGACCAGTTAGGGAAAAGCTGTCAAAATGTTATGTGGTATCTTTTTACGAGCTAACTTTTCTCTCTGTTTCTTTCTCCCCTTCCTTTGGATTTGCTCTCCCAGCAGTTGCTGTATAAATGGGTCCAGTCATGCCTCCCAGTAAGAAGCCAGAGGGCTCAGGAATTAGCGTTCCCAGCGGATTGAGCCAACGTTACCAAGATAGTGATTTATCAAAGGCACTTCATGATGACGAGGACCTAGATTTCTCTTTGCCTGCCATCAGATTAGATAAAGGGGCCATGGAAGATGAAGAACTAACTAATTTGAACTGGCTACATGAGAGCAAGAACTTGCTGAAAAGCTTTGGGGATTCGGTGTTAAGGAGCGTTAGCCCTGTTCAGGACATCGGTGATGACACGCCGCCATCTCCTGCTCACTCTGACATGCCCTACGATGCCAAGCAGAACCCCAACTGCAAACCTCCTTATTCCTTTAGCTGCCTCATATTTATGGCCATTGAGGACTCGCCAACCAAAAGACTGCCCGTAAAGGATATATACAACTGGATCTTGGAACACTTTCCGTATTTTGCAAACGCACCCACTGGATGGAAAAATTCTGTGAGACATAATCTATCCTTGAATAAGTGTTTTAAGAAAGTGGACAAAGACAGAAGTCAGGTAAGTTTGGAACTTTGGAAACCTATATGGCTCTGAAAATACTCACCTGCTAATCCCAGAAGGTGTCAGTAACAGTGAAATGCAGAATATGCAACACTGTCCCTCGTAACGTAATTCATTAAATGCAGAGAGCCAACATTTCTTTAGCATGTCTCATTCTGATTTTATTAAATTCATTGTCTAGACATCTGTAAAAAAAGTACTCAGTGTGTGTGTGTGTGTGTTTTTCCCCCCAGCTGGTGTCTTCATGCATAGTAGTTAAATATTGTTTTTAGTTATCATGCTGTGGTAATGGTTTCCAGCTATACTAGATGAATGTAATCATGTTATAAATAGGCTCCTTGCTGTTCTTGGCTTATACAAATGTATAGTGAAAGGGTATGCCTTATGTAAGAGTCCATCGCTTTTCCCCTGGTCTGTGTTGTAATCCGAAAAAACTTATTTCTCTTAGACAGAAGTAGTTCTGAATTGTGGTGATGAAGCTTTGTTCCAAGCTTTGTTTCAAGCACGTTTTAGAGAAACTGTTTGAAGAGAGGAGATAGGTTTGGCATCAAAGGTGAAAGTTACTGTTCACCGAAATTTCAGTTGTTCTCTCCCAGGGCTCGTGTAGCTTCTGCAACTGGTGTGGTGGCGGAAGCCTGGGGAGCACATTTTTGCTTTCAGATCTCTGTTATTGTCGCCTGGTTTCATTGCTGAATCCTCAGCGGCGTCTGCAGGAAGAGGCTGTGTGCAAGGGAATAAATAGGGAAGCAAGCCGAGTGGTGGAGGCAGTTCTTTGCATAGCCTTCTACTGCGTCAGTCTGCCTGGGAGCAGGTATCAGTTTCTGAAGGGGACTGTCTCAAGAAACAGTGGTCTGGATGAATCTCTGGCAAAGTATGAGTATACTGATAAAAATATCAGCTTGCAGATTAATTTCACAAGCCTTCTCACAGGTTAGTGAAATAAATAGTGGGTAAAATCACATCAGTGACTGTCTGTCTCTAAAATTGGCTGAAGATCAGAAAGCAGACACTTTCTACTAGCAGAAACAATAGATGCACTCAACTTTTGTATTTCGGTGAGGTAAATGCCGTGATTGTTTTGTAACTGGTAACCCTGAAACTAGACTTCTGTTGGTGGTGCTGTTCTCCCTATTTTGTGTGCAATTTAACTTAAAATGCTGTGGAATAGGAGCTCAAGTAACTCTAGAAGAAGATTCATACATTATCCTAAACTAGCAACTTTTCATTTTAGGTTACTTAACTTTTCTCTGGAGCTTTCCTTTTTTAAATGATTGACACTTTTTTTTCTTTCTTTTTTAAAATGTTGTTCTGTAGAATCCACTGTCTGCATATTGCTGATCACACACTGTATGTTGGTATTTTTATAAATTAGTTGCTGTGAAAGATTTTGTGTGAGATTAAAAAACCTGTTCCTGAACAGGATCTTGTTTTGTGTAAACCAGAGTCTTAAATTCTTGTTTGGAAGTGAGACTATAATAACAAGTGCCACACCAGACTTTTATGATCCTGTCCCAGACCATAAGAAACCTTCACACAATACACGTAAAAAACCCCAAAATATTGTAACTGGAAAGGCATGTGTTTAACATTGCCATTTGTGTTTTGTTCTATACCTCTTCCTCTGTTTACAAGTTGACTATTTAGATTACAGCTTCCTTCCTATGAGGAACTTGTCTTCATGTCAGTCTGTCAAATATCTGGCAGTCTGATGAACAATACCACGACGTACTGCTTCTCCACAGGGAAGTGGCAGAGCACAATGCATGACTAGTCACCTACGTCTTGAATTTGTGATTAAAGCCATGGTTACATAGCTAGACAACAAGGTGTGGTGGGAAGGCCGCCTTGTATGAATAACGAGGTGGGGTTTTATTCATTCCTGGAAAATCCCAGGTTATGAGAAAGAATTTCTTCCATCTCCTGGAGATGCTAATAACCACAGGTAGCCAGCTTCAAGGTGAATGAGATTAGAATCTCAAACGTAAAATGCATCAAAGCAGGTCCTCTAAAAACCCTGCTGGGTTTTTCTCGTGTCCTGGCCAAGGGACGTGGCAGACAGAGTCCTGAGCTCAGAATTGGCACTTGGTCAGAGTTGCTGAATCAGGTGCTTGACAGCTAATTGTGGACTTGGAAAGCAGTAAACGTCAACTGCTGGCTTTGAAAATACCTCCGTGTGTGTGCGCACGCACACTTGGGGTTGATTCAGGTACCTTGCAGCAAGCATCTCTGCTGTTCAGAAGGAAGGTGACCGTCTCAGGGGTTCTGTAGTTTTGGGCTGGGGAAGTGGGGACTCTCCTCTTTAAGGAATCATTTCATGGTAGTTCTTCCCCTTTGCAGCCAGATTCAGCACACTGCAGGTTTGGAGTCTGCCCGTCTTACTGTTTTTATGTGGGGGAAAAAAAAAAAGGCATTTAGCAAATGGCATGTTATAAAATGGTAACAAGATAGGCTCTGAAACATGTACAGTATGGAGGGAAGGAGTTAATCAGTGCTGGGAATTGGAGGCATTTGCCGCTTGATGTGCGTTGACACATTGTGAAAAGCTAGAAGCTTTTCCTCTCATAGTTGTGCTTTCCAGTGTTTGTTTGTGTAGCCTTTCAGTAATCGTTTTTCTAAAAAAAGTTCTGCTGAACACTTAATTCTTTTTTGAATTCCCTTTGCATAGTAGTTTTCTCAATCTTGGGTTCCACTAATTTATATTCATGGGGCTAAGTATGTATTTAATAGTATGCAGCTTTTTCTGCCTGCATGTGAATGCTTGCATTTCCTGATGTGAGATTGTTGTAGCAAAGGGGGGGAGGGTGGGAAGACTTACAGGCTTCATCGCTTAGTTTTTGACTTGCCCTGTCCTGGTGCTTTTAGGTCTGGTGTGGAATGCCAGGAAAAGACGTTTTTCTCCTCGAATTTGTTTATGCACTGCTGCTATTCCACTGCAATGCCATCAGGCTTACCTGGCAAGGCTGCAGAGTGACTATTCATGTAACTTTGCGATGAGGCTGATCTGGATCGAGTCAGAGAGCCGGGCTGAAGAAGGGAAAATGCTGAGCCCTTGATTGTACAAACCTCTTTGCATTGAGCTCAGCAGTTTAATAATAGTTGGCGAGAGTATGAAGGATCACATGATGGGGAGTAGATGAGGAGTTCCCTGGCTTTGTTTATACTGCTGGACCTGTGAATTCAGTCATTCAGATTAATCCTATTGTGAACGTACATATCTAAATGTCCTCCAGTGTGTGTCCCATTTAGTACAGCTAGCCCATGACTTCCCTGACTTCCCTACCATCTGGTCCTTGGCTATAGAGAGGAATTTTTCTTGTATATGTGTCTCTATAGCAACGAGTTTGCAGTTGATATGGAAAGTAAGCAGTTGCCCTAGCAACGGAGTTACTGATGTGGCAGCTTCTCTGCTTGCAGGGAAAGGGCTAAGCTAGTTCAGACGCATTATGTAGGTTTGCTGTAATTATAGCTGCGCCCACTAGTGCTGCTCTAGCTAAGGATCTGTTGAAAAATTTTGTTACAAGCCCTATTTTTTTCCCTCGTGAATATTTGTTTTATTTGTGTAGGGATTCCTGATCTGAACAAAGGCTAGTAGGATTGTATTTTCAGGGCATATGATATGTCTGTGCCTTTTATGAATTCAGACTTTCGCGATCATTATTATCAAATGAGTGGATGAGGGGAAAGTATGTTTGACCTCGCTGGCTTCTCTGATTTTTTTTTTTTTTTTTTTTTTTTTGTGTCTCAGTGAGAAGCCCATGGTTATAGAAGCTGGGGTTCTCATCCCATGCTCTTTTCCACTATGCTGCTGTCTTTTCCCTGGTCTGTGTTTCTTTGGGCATCCATTCTATCAAGAGGGTTCCTCTTTGTGTCTGCTCTGTGTTGTCTGAGATAGGGAAATGCACATATGCTCCTGACTCTGTGCATGTTGAAGAAATTCAAGTCTCTTAAAGGTTTGTTTGACACTCGTGCTGAGGGACGTCTTAATAAAAATGTAATGAGGGTAAAGGATATGTTTATGGGGACGGGAGAAAATTCTCCTCGCTTGATGTGGAAGTTATTCTTAGAAGTACATGGTCCATAACTGGGTCATGGAGATCCAGCCAGGCTCCTCCTCCGTCTGGAGCAGGCTCTGAGATCTGAGGACTCTTGAGTGTTCCTTGGGCTCTGTGAGAGCTGATGTCCAACTTGTCCTCATCTAATGCACTGCCTCTCGTGAGTGCTCTGCCAGGGCACCTGACGAGAGCTGTAGGGGACTCTGAGCACAGAAGATTTTTCAGGACTCCCTCCTGCCAGCATCTTTTCTCTGATGTGATAATGTCTGGGCTTTTGACAGGTAAAACCCTGCAGAACTGTAAGCACTAGCTGGAATGAGAGGAAAAGGAACCTGCTTGTTCTTAGTTAGAATCTTCTAATCCAATCTGCATATACACAAAGGTGAGAGACCAGGGACTCTGTCCTCCCTCATTTAAAGATATTATTTGAGAAGATCTGTGAAAGCTCAGTGATGCTCTGGGGATAGAAGTGATCTCCTCCATTTTTGATATTATCGCCTAGACTGGCCCCAATAACACAAACATCAGAATTTCACTGCATTTGTAACATCTGGTGGAGCTAAAGTGTTAAAAAAACCCCAAAACAACCAAAATAGCAAACAACAAACCAAAAACCCCCCAAACCAACAATAAAACAACCCCACAGATTCATGTTACAGACTTTGGGTGATGTTGACTCCATTAATAAAATAATGTCCTAAATAAGCTGGTCCAACTGTTAATTTCCCAAACTGTTAAAAGGAGATGTTGTGGTTTTAAGATGGAATTTGTCCAGTTTAACTTGAAATCCATTTTCATATACTAAAAAGCTAAGTAGTGTCAGAAATTTTCTCCTCAAAGAGAAATGAGGGTCATCTCATTCCAGAGCAGTCACAAAAGTCTCTAGAACCATACTGTAATACGGGTTTCTAGATATTAAATGATTTTTGGAGAGCTTTTCTTGAACCCTTTCAGTTTTGTATTTGAAGCGCAAACCCAAGA